AAAAAAAAAAAGGGGGGGGCGGGGAAAAGAATTTATATATGTACTGCTTCTCTTTTTTATCATTAATAAACACTCTGCTCTTCTGGTATGGCTCTGCACCTCTCTGTGCCCAAATCGCCCCAGCTCTTTTCCTGCCCCTCTCCATCACGGAGCAAAGCTGGGGAGGCCTCGGGAAGAAGGTATCTCCCTGCCAGGGGGCTGTAAATAGTAAATTAAACCATCTGGGGGCTTTTCAAGCTTGGTCAAGTGCTGCAGCTTGCAGGGCTCCAAGTCTCGCTGTTGTGGGTAAAGCAGGGGACGGTGGCCCTTGCCGCGGCACCTCGGGGGTGGGAAAATCCCACACGGCTTGGCTGGACACAGGCAGAAGCGCGTGTTTCCCCTCTACAGGAAAAACCATTAATGGGGACATCCTTGAGAGTAACAATCCATCTCCTCTGACCCTTCTCCCCATGACTTTACCCCTCTGAGGGGCTTTTCTGTAAATCCCCAGCTCTGGGAGTCAGGTGATGATGTGCGTTTGGTTTTGTGGAGGAGGCTCAGAGATGGGATGGGGGGAGGAAAAAACCACCCTCTGCAACCCCATGCTGGGTCTGACCCGATATTAATCCTGCCAAAAAGGCTTTTTCCTCCATCCTGGTGAATGCTTGGGCTTTAAAGGTGATGCCCTGGGGAAAGGGAGGGTCCCCGGGGGGCCGTGTTGCCTATGCTGCCCTCGCTGCCTGGCACAGCCCGGCCGGCCAGGATATTATGCTGATATTAACGGGTGGTTTCCATGGTTTCTCACTATTTGCATAGGATGCTCCTTAGGAACAAGAGCTGGTGGCGGAAAAACAAAAGGGAGATGTTGGAGGCGTGCGGTGCGGGGGCAACCCCAGGGGTCCTCCGCCTTCCTTACGTTGGCTGACGTTATCTATTTCCAACCGAGCATCCCTGGATACGGGGAACGGAGGAAAATTGGGGCGAGCATCCCATCTCCCTCCCTGTGCTGTGTCCTGACGCTGCCCATCACCCCCCAAAGAGCTGGCAGTGCCTGGAAATTCGGGCATCCCACGGCCAATTTAGGCAGAAGTAAGGCGTTATTTGGGAACAATAAAAAGCCAGGGAAGCTCTTTGAGTTGCCGGGGCTGGAGCAGGATGAGGCGTTTCTCTTTGTTAGGTCCGGAGGGAGCATTTCCCTCCCGCGGCTGCCAGTGCCAGAGCAGGTGCCTGGCGTAAAAATGGCAATAAAGGGTGAAATGAGGCATCGCTTCGGATGGCGAAACTGAGGTGTTTTGACTTTTTTCCGAATCATTTGGTGAAAAATTGGTTTGCAGGAAACAATATGAATTAATGAACCGGTTGGCTCCCTAAGACTCTGCATTTTTTAGTGCAATAAAGGGTACCTGTGTCTTCCCCTGAGCTTAATTTCATTCCCACAGAGGCAGAGAAATGCTTTTAAGTGGAAGCCAAGGCAGGGAAGCTGTTCCTCCCACCGACATTAGACCTCTCCTCCGGAGCTGGCCCGGGAGGCAGCACCCAGCCTGCAGCCACGGCTGATGTCTCCCCGGGACTGAGCATTTGCTCGTACATCCGACATTGGAGGACAAATTTGGGGAAAGCTCCGGTACGGGGCAGGTGGGTTTTGCGTGGGACCCTCCTTTGCAGCCATCGCATCCTTCCCCCATGCCTGAGATCCCGCCGGTTACTTGCAGGACCTTTTCCGAGCTCAAACCTTCCTCCTTGCAGCAATTAGAAGGATCTTATTAACGATTGTTGTTATTATTATTATTTAGCATCATTTTTGGCTGCTCATGCCGAGGACGGGGAGCGCTGGGCTCCGCTCCGGCCCGCGGGGTGCCCAGGACCCCGATCCCCATCCATCCCGGTGCTGCTCCCCTGCGAGGGGTGGGTGGGTACCGCTGGTCCTCGGGTGGGTGTGGGGTGCGAGTGGGGTT